AGGAATGCCTATAATTGCTCTCTGGTGCAAGTACAATACACGGCATCAGGATACATGTCAACCCATAGACAAAATCACAACGCATGGGCAATATGGTGCATAGCTTACTGCAAAGTTAGTGTGAGCATTTCTGAACCACGTTTTCAGAGAGGGGAAATGCAGATAGAGTAGAGCAGACCTGGAAGGAATCACAGAGGAATCATAGAGGCTGGGCTGGCAGCCTGTGCCTCAACTACAAGGTGACGACAGCTCATAGGTGAAGTGCTGGGGCATGGGTGCCATGAGGGCTGCTGGGCAGGTCACAGTCCTCCGTTTGGAAAACTGGGGAACAGGAGGCAATCTGTGCACTGAAAGTGATTCAGTTTATTAGCTTGGGTGAGGTTATTTGGTGTTGCTCTGCACCTAAAATAATGAATAATCTTGAAATACTAGTGAATTCCATGTTTTCAGGCGATGCTGTGCAATGCACTCAGAGCACCCCTGATTTCCCCTTACCTAAGTCTCCCCTTCCCCTGCCCTCCTTGACCAGATAAAGGAGAACAGCTGAAAATGTAACTTTTGTGTGCAAGGCCACTGTATTTATGAGTTCTCTGCCTCATACTGTCCCCCCTCCCACTCCCACGAGAATGTAAACCAGACATAACTCCAGAAAGGCTGTGTGCAGGCTGCTGTGTATAAAGATATCCCGGACACGTTGATAGCGCATGTAAGGATCAGCTACGCAGCATCTGTAGCACAGGTTTTCAGGAAAACATCAGATTCGCAGCACATATGTAACAAGGATACGATGTACCTCCTGGAGAAGTGTGGGAGAGACTCACCATACCTGCACACAGCCATGTCCATACGGCAGGAGATTTACACTATTACACAGTATGTACACAGGGGGAAGGAAGGAAAAGGAAGAGGAAGAGGAAAAGGAAAAGGAAAAGGAAGAAGAAAAGGAAGAAGAAAAGGAAGAGGAAGAGGAAAAGGAAGAGGAAAAGGAAGAGGAGGGGAGAGATGAGATGGAGAGGAAGAGGGAGAGAAAGAGACAGAGAAGGAGAGGGAGAAAAAGAGGAAGAGGAAGAGGCACAGGGACAGGGAGAGGAGGAGACATTTTTTCCTATACAGTGGATATACGGATGAATTCCAGTTCTTCCAGGATTTATGCAACAGACCTGCACCCATGAATTGCGCCACTGTACCTCACATGTAGCATATCCAGCACCTCTGCAAAGGCTGAACTTACTGCTATGCTACACATGTAGGCCCCCTTAGGCAATCCTTATAAATATTTAGCTCTCAATAGACTGATTCTGGAAGGATACACAGAATTGAAAGATGTAGCCAATTATATTATAAGCAGATTTACTATAATTTGCATCAAACCCAGCAAGTATACAAATGCATAACAAAAGAACAAGGTTCTAGCTCCTTATGTTCAGCGCTGACCTCAGTGAGGAACGGAGCACAGCCAATTTTCTCAAGTGCCACTTAGCTTCAAAAGGGTTGAGAACCACTGATTTAGAAGATCATACATATTTATTTTAATCCTGTTTCCTACTTTAGTGCAAAATCATATTGAATCATGGTTTCCTTTCTATAGCTTCATCAAGCAACACAATGGATCTCAAGCCTAGAAGAATTCATGTTAAAAGTCACAATAGAAAGTAATGACAGTTGAAGGTAATCAATATATTGGAGGATCAGATTTATGAGGGGCTAGAACACCTAAGGGCAAGACTGCATCCTACTAACAGAAATACATACGGAAATGGTTATGAGAGAAAAAGGGCAATCCATTCCCATCAGTTCAGCCCATTCCCATCTCGCAGCCTCCATGGGCCACAGAGCTCCAGCTGCTACAAACACACGGTAGTGTCACAAAAGAAAGTTAAAAGAAGAAATTCACGCAAGATATTAAGGTGTTAGAATATCCAGCATTAAGAGCTAAGTATAGAGGTTTTGTCCCCTCCAATCTTGTACGGAGCTATGCAACTGCATAGTCACTGTGTAGGGTACAAGGAAACAGAAGTCGAAGGCGGAGGCTTTTACCAGCACTGACACCACCTATGGGTATGATGCACTTCATTAGTGCTCCCAGCAAGTAAAAGGAGTGAACTATATAAATCCACAGCTTTTTTTTTTCCTTCATGTTGTGTGCCGTTCCAAAACACATCACGTTCCCTAATCATGGAAAGAAATGACTAGGAAAAAGGAAAGAAGACAAAGAATAAGGAGGATGCTGCATATGCAAAACATCACTATGTTACTTTGAAAAATGGAGGTTGACACAATCAGGAAACCCAGAATTCAAATTAAAGTTAAAACAATTCAAATATCTAACAACATAGATGGACATAGTTAAGGCAGCCTAATGACCTTAACCTTTTAGTGAAACACTACAATTCTGGTCACATTTGAATTGCTTCAAATCCCTGTAATTCAAGAACACCTAAAATATTTTTATCATGTGTCACTGGAAAAGCAAGCATTAAATGGTCTGATATGAAATATTTATTTTTAAGGGTTTAATTTTAAACATACATTTTAACTTAGAAGTTGTTAAGATATTTACCTGAAAATTCTCTAAATGATTGCTCAAGACTCAAAGAATCCATGTTGAACATTAGTGAAAACAAACGCTTTCTTCGTCCATAGCAAAAGAAATATTCAAAACTGACAATAAAACTATTACCAAATGTGTCATAAGAATAACATTTTTAAGTGTCTAAGGTGAAGATGCATATGCATTTCATCTAACTGAATATTTGATTAATTTCTGAGGGTGCAATAGGGATGCCCAAACAAAGGTGGAAAGTACTGTGAAAACTTTCATCAGTAAAAGTCAGACAGAACCTCCTTTTAGTAGGGCTGTAAGCCTTCTGGAGCAAAAAGCACGTTTCTGCTGGCATGGCATCAAGCTAAACAGCTCTGGTCCTTGACAAAGCCTCTAAGCCTTGGCAAGACACATAATGAATTATTTACTTTTTTAGGTACTACATAGGAAATGGTCCAGTTAGTGTTTTTTTTTTTTTTTTTTTTTCCCCTGAAAGGGAGGTTTCAGCATAGTGGAGAAAGCAAGTATCACTCTTCTAAAGATCTGATAGAAACCATTGAGACTGCTCCTCAAAAACCCCTTTAACCTGCCTAAGCTAAGCAGAAGCAACCTCA